TTTTTTTTTACTTCAACTATCCAAAACTAGCAGTACAAGTCTTTCACAAACTTTTTTCAAACAGCAAGTTTATCGAGAATTTGGAGACAATGAGTTCCTTTCGGGTGATGGTTTTGGCCGTCTACTAACCGAAAATCTTTGCGAATTTCCTTTGACTAGCTCCATTTGCGAAGAGATTCTATACTTAGTAAGCGGTCCTGATAGCAATCAGCTAATCCCGGTAGGTTACATCTTCAAGTACACGTTCAGCCTCACTATCAATAAGATTTAAAGATATTTAGGCAAGACTAGGTGTCTACGTAGCAAACCTATTAGCTGGAACATCTGCGAGAAATATAGCTCATTATTCACAAATGGTCCACAGCCAGCTAACGGCTTCATTCGACCGCGGACTTCAGGAGAATCTACGATGGTATGGACAGGTACATAAATTGTCCCCAATTTATCTTTCACACTTCGTATAAGAAGCAAAGTTTGATATTTCTTAAAATTGATCTACTAAAATAAAAAATTATGGTTTGAAAATGTATAACTATTTTTTAGAGTTCACCACCTGTCTATAATATAAATAATGTTTATTGTGATACCTACCTTTACTACTCTGACTATGATTGGACGGCAACGGCTCGCGATGTTGAACAATTTCTCATACCATCACTTCCTTGGACTTCTGTTAAATCGACCAGGTTTGTCGTCCAATTTCTTCTTTCTCTCTTCTTTTGATCTTCCCTCTAAATTTCCTGTTATGAATTTCTAAATTTTGTCATTTTCACATCCCATTTTTGCTATAATGTCCATAGAATTGTTCTTCAAACCTAGTTTTGGCGGAATCAATAGTTCCAGCGTGAACATAAATGGCAAATATTATTTTGAAACATTCCCTTAATCTTTTCTTGTCTCTAATTGTAAATAACTTTTTCTTCCAGAAACTTACAAAAATTCAACCATATGGATTTCTTATGGGGTACCCGTGCACGAGAGGAGATCTATGATCCAATTGCAAACATCATAAACGCTGATTTGATAGCATCGGATCAAATATATCTGAAACACTGATGAGTAAATCATCCGTATCCATTTAACTCTCTTTAGAGTATCATGCGAAATGCGAAGTCTTAGAAATTTGCAGTAACTTATTAGATGATTAGATTAGAAATTGCTCCAACTTTTATCTCCACGGGTTCTGTTTATTTCTCATATATATATATATATTTTTTTTTGCTCTGTTATGTTTATACTTACAGATAAAGATTTGAATATCGACTACTTCTCATTGTTTCCCGCTAAATAAAGGAACTCAGCATAGAAATTGAAAAGCTAAGAAAATAGAATATTTTCAGAAAGCCGCATGCGCATA